TAAACCTGGAGAAAAAAGACAAATCACATTGTAAGTCGTTTCAGACTCTAAGATTACTATAAACTAAGATAAATGGAATTAACTGAACAATACCAGTTTTTAATTACCTGTAACACGAGCAACTCTTCCTCCAAGTTCACGGCCAGCGTTTCCAACAAGGTGAGCACCCAAGCTGAAGCCAACGAGGTGCATGCGGTTGAAAGCCTGTCCGGTCACTCTGTTTAAGAAAGCCAAGAACTGTCCAAGACCTCGACCAACATCAGGGACACCTCGTACTGCTGTAGCGTAGTCAGAAAGAGCAAGTCTTCTCCAGTCCAGAACGATGACGTTTGTTTCGCTCTTTCTCAAGTAAGCTAAAAAATAATAATGTTAAATTTTTAGGTGAGGTCGTTCTATTTTGTGCTTAGGAAAAATATTGTTTAAGTAATTAATGCACTCTTACCATCCCTAATAGTAGGGTTAATGTCGGTGTTCTGGTTGCTGAGCCAGCCGTGAGCAATGACCACTGTGGGGTGGTTAGCATTGAAGTTAGAGTTTGTAATAGAATTGGCGTTGTTGATCACCAACGTCTGAGAGTTACTGGGGTTGCGTCTGTAAAATATGAATGAAAACAAGTTAGAGTTTCTTCTCAATTGGTAACACAATTTTATTTTTTAAACCAACTTTGGTATTATTGTCATTAAGTTGCTTCGTCAACTGACTATTTTAAAGAATTTTGTACAAAACGTTTCATGTTTGTTAAATACATACTTGCTAAATTCTAGCGAAATTTATATATATATTTGAGTATTTACATTTCGGCATCTACAATGTATCCGTAATCTTTTACTACAGTTAAGAAAATAAATAAAATAGTCAATCTATAAGGCTATTATTTTTGGTGTAAATAAATACAATTTTAAGAATTATATACCTCGTGAATAGGAAGTATTGGTTGTTTGCGGGGTTCCTTGCGATCTCTTCGAGGAGTTCCATGTCAGGCTCAGCCTCGAGGTCCACTGTGTGCATGACACCCTCGCCATCGGGGAACTCAATGTATCGAGGGTACTCTCGGGCCTCAGAGTAGTCTGAGTTAACGGGCACCGCTGTAGCGGCGTAAACTTAAAACGTAATATTTAATAAATAGTTGCCTCCTGATAAGCTATACTTGGTAGTTTTAAGTAATTGACAATAACGCTGTTATAACATAAATGATTTCTTAAAAATTGTACAGAATGTATACTCAAAACAACAGATTCCTCAATTTCAAGAAGATATTTAGGGTATATAATAAGTTTAGTTTTAAGCTATAAGCTTAAAACATTAAAGCTCACGAACGTTGTACTTAACTTTCAATAACAAAACTTAGATAATAACAATCAGATGCTTACAAAATATAAGTTAACAGAATATTCACAGAATCTAAATTCTAGATATTGAAACATCATTTTCGATTAATTAAATATTAATAATAAAAAATATGGTAATAATTACCCGTAATAATGAGCAAGCACAACAGAGACTTATGCATTGTGGCAACAACTTCCAGTAAGTCTTGACCAAATAGCCCCCAAAGGCTATTTATTCGGGAACTTATCAGCCAAAATGAAAAGATTGAATGATTATACGCTTTTATCTTTTCATTTAAAGGATTTACAAAGTTTTATTTGATTTTGTGGATTAATCTAGTCTATGATATAAAATATAATTACATAATTTGAGTCCAAATTAATGATTTTCTTTGGCTTATTATGATAAAGTATTTGTGTCAGTTCATTTTATTTTCGTTCGTCTTTTGAGGTATTGTTTTTATTTGCGTTTTGTATTCTGATTGTTTTTTTTTTTGTACAGGCGAATTTATGCTAAATATATTATATATTATTATAGTTCCAAAACATTTGTTTTTTTACACTCACATGAAACGATACATATTTCATTAAATATTTGTGTTTTTACACTCGTTAATACACTCCAAGGTTTGCCATATTCCTTTTGGCACACAGTTTATGGTGCCTTAATTATCATCACCTAACGCCTTGAAGAATTACAAAACAATATGTTTAAAAATAAAAGCACAAAATTTGTGACAGAACCGAATGCTGCAAAACCGACTCCACATGGTCTTGTCTGCTCTGACCCTAAAGTGTAAGAGCATATGTGTGGAACCCACAACATCATAGGAGTTACGAGTTCGTTTCTGGTTATTGATTGGAGGATTAGGCATTCGGGAACTGGGGTTGGTGGAATGGCATTAGGTTTTCGGTAATCTCTCTCATACGTCGGAACAGACGCCTGCTTGTTTCCAGTCGGCTTTCTGATAAGCCGTAGTATCACTCATCTATGAAAAAAAATATGATTTGGTAAGAATACGCATAAAACAACTATGATCTCACCAAGTGTTGTTGTATTCTGGATGATGATGTCAAATTACACATACTATTTTTATTTGAAAATAGATCAAAGAAAAACCTATCATGCTTCCAAAAAACAACAGTTAAAATGGTAGACGAAAAAGGCATTGCTGCGACTGGTTTAATAGTGACAGTCACATTCACATGCCCAACTCTGAGTTTGATAATAAACATTATAAATTTAGAGGAACGCTCGTTTCCAGAAGACCATAGTAAGTACCTACATGGGGTTAAATAATCAAACGGATCGGATACTTCGTTGGGGCGGTCGGCGCTATCCATAGACGGTTGTCGCAATACTAGAAGAACCACAAGTTCGTTGTAGGTCTTAAAAGAAGAATACTTTCTTGATTGTTAGAATTCTTTTTAAATTACGGGGCTTTTTTTAATGAAACAATGACATTGTAAGGGTAGTCGATTTAATAATTCAGTGATGAGATGGTTTTAGGCAATATTGTATTTAAAATTAATATATTTTAATAATTAAACAAATTAAAAACAAGGACAATCTTAAATCAGCTGTCAACGCCAGTGTTGCCACAGAAAAAAGTCAAGACTTTGTAAGGGATAGATACCAGTAGACATGATTCTTAGTTTTTATGTAAAGAACTTTAATGTATCTATTTTATCAATAGGTTCATATACCTTTATTCAAGAAATCTTTCTTCATTTACCTCCTTACCTTTATGTCATAATGAAACCAAGATTCTTCTTAAAACATTGTTTGCCTAAAAAGCACAGCGGCATTTTTTTTCTGTACCTTGGTTGCGTTTGCAAACATTATTATGATAATACACTCCCATATCAAAATAATCGAAAGACAATTTGTCGTAATATCTTTTATTTTTTTTTATTTTATATTCACTATACTTTTTTGGTGGAGACCCGTAACACCAAAGAAGTAGCGAGTGTTGGGTTATATAACACCAAAGAGTTGGGAGGGGAAGGATTGAGCCTCCCGTAACCTCACTCACACATGTGAAACATAACGCTGTGGTTTTTTCACGTCAATTTTCTGAAGTGAAGTCGTGGTATCGCTCCGGTCGAGCCGAACCATTCGTGCCAAAGCTTAACGTTTTGTTTGATCAATCTCCAAACTGTGTGAACATAGGCAATACGTATTACTATACATTCATTCATTATAAGCTAAGTACAAACTTTAATAAGAATTCTGCATGAAGATACCAATTATGTATTTACTTGTGACGTCAAATGTTTTATAATCCGATTACTGTTTTAAAAATAAGTAAGTAGGTAGGTACTACAAAGAGTCTGCATGCCGCTCTGATGTTCTAGAAATATATGGAACTGGGCCTCGAGTCTGCTATTACAATAGTGTCAGAATAGTAGATCATTGGTTTCAAAATTGTTGATTTTGACAAGTTTGGTAATCTAGTAACACAATAACGTCAGTATGACTTTCCGATGCTACTTGATTGAAATAATTCTTTAAAACGGTAATCTCGTACATAATGACAAATGAATATTTGACATAATGCGGTAAATTAATAAAAACTGTCAGTTCCTTTATTCAATGATTTACGTTTAGAATATTAATGTGCAGTTATTGTTTATAATTCTTTACAAGACATCTCGTACTATAATTCTATTACGATATAGCCGAACGCCAATGATCAGCTATTTTGAAATAACAGATTACGAACTTTTAGCAAAATGACAATGGAATCCTGTAGGAATGACAACACTTTGAAAATAGTAGACTCGGGCCCCTGATGTTCAAAATAATACTTCTGACCAAAAATATTGAGGTTTGCTTGTTTCTGACTCTGTCTGTTGTATAATGTAATATTTATTTTTGTTTAACACTTTATGTACATTTTTAGTATAAAGGCGGACTTAATGCCCAAAGGCATTCTCTACCAGTCAACCGCAATATTAACATAAGGTTTAGTCCTCCTTGAGATATATAGAGATGAATGAATGACTTTAATATACCTACATTGTATCATCCCCATGTTCCGCTACTTACATTATGAGTCCTATGTAATGGAAGCCTTTTTTTAAAGGGTAAAATCATCAATTCTGATCTCTCACCTAGGGTAGGAAGGGAGGGAGAGTCAGGTTCTTACTGACTAAAAACATTGTGTTTCTTCTCCTGCTAGAGTCCCGAACTCCGGCTGAACATCAGTGCAATCGGGCCTCATTGTCGTGGTTTAATAGCTCTTTGAGGAGCCTATTGACGTACGATTCATTTATGTGTAGCCATTTCCAACCTATTGCGCTTTGTAGGTTTCTGTTTATTTGTAATCTATTTGTTTCTATCAATATCATAACCTATACATTTTATATCATTACCTTTACATTTTCCTATATGTAACTGTAACAGGTATTTTGATGGTTCGGTGAAAAGACATCAATTAACGTTGACAAAATTAATAGTGTACGATCCCGCACAAGCTGAGATACAACCACCTAATATGCTCATTTATAAAATGTATATTTATTTTTATTATTTTGTAGTCTTCAGTAGCATCATGTTGTTCTTAATAAAATTTGAAATGTTAGTCAGTTCCTATGATTCTCATGATTTTGATCATCTGTACTGTCATACAGTAAAATGATTTTATTATACGACTTTTTGTTGACTACCCTAATAGAAATTTATTTGCAGGACCAATGTGAAAGCATTCTAAAAATAAAAGTGTAATAACTAGGACACAAAGAAAAAATGAAAATATGCCAGACATTCCATGCCAATACTTTATTTATTTTTTCCAAATTTGCAAACAAAAGTTACATCAAATTAATAAGGGTACCTCCTAGCGGTGTCCAGGCGGTACATTCCGGATCTGAAAAAGAAAAATATTACGTGAGCAACTTTCGATCATTCAAACGAAAAAAAAAAAGAATTTCTATAATAAACTTTGGGCTGTTAACAACCGCATATATTTGTTGCGTAAATCTATAATCGAACGATAACGTCGAAGTGAATAGGAAATAGTTGTGTTATTAAGTCACAACAGAATTTTGGTTACAATACTCAGGATTAACAAATGTGTCCAAACCATTTCATAAAACTCTAATGCAGTCTTTCTCTTCTAAATTGAAGATTCGCATTAAATAATACATTTAAAATAATGTAACTTACCCAGATTTGGTTAGAATATCGTTGCCCATCCGAAGTTCAGCACCACGGCATGTGTTCCATGTTAACTGACTCTGGGTGGTGCACAGACGTCCAACTAAATGGTTGTAAGTGACAGTAGCGGCAAAGAGTTCCCAGGCACGGTTGTGATTGCAGAGGTTAGTGTAGCACCCAGGCTGGGAGTTACCACCGTTGGGGTAGAAGTCAGCGTTGGCAACGTTGGAGCCAATACCAAGACCTCCGACGGAACCACCATCAGTGTGGATCGCCTCGACATAGACACCGTCATTGGGATTAACACGGTTGGAATTGTAGTTCCATAGGGGACCAGCAGGGTCCAAAGCTAAAAAAATAAAACCATATATTTTTTATACTTTAATCCCAAAAACCACAATGTAACGGAATATATGTAAAGAAAAATATAAAAATTTTACCTGTTACTCGAGCAGCTCTTCCTCCGAGTTCTCTGCCAGCGTTACCAACAACATGGGCACCCAAGCTGAATCCAACAAGGTGCATTTGGCTGAAAGGTTGTCCGGTCACCTGGTTAAGGAAAATCAGGAACTGTCCAAGACCACGGCCGACGGCTGGCACACCTCTGACTGCTGTGGCGTAGTCAGCTAACGCCAACCTTCTCCAGTCCATCACGATGACATTTGTGTCACTCTTTCCCAAGTACGCTGGACAATAATTTAGATTTAATATAACTGTTTTAACAAATTTTCAAATTCGATATTTTTATTAAACTTACCATCCCTGATGGTTGGGTTAATGTTAGTGTATTGGTTGCTGAGCCAACCATGAACAACAACGACGGTGGGGTTATTGGCGTTAAAGTTAGATCTAGTGATAGAGTTAGCGTTGTTGATCACCAAAGACTGCGATATAATTCGGTTGCGTCTGAAAAAAAACGAGAAGATTAATATTAGATATTATTCAAACTAGTTATACGTTAAGTTGGATCTTCTTTACTTTTTACTTTGAGTTTGTGACATTTTCGTTACTGTATGTTTAGATAAATATGGATATTCAATAAACATCCATACGTATTAATGTCAAATACCTGAAGTTATTTGAAGAAATGCTTTAATTACCATAAACATAATTATACACACCTAGTATACAGCAGGTACTGGTTGTTGTCAGGGTTTCTCTCAATCTCAGCCAGAAGTTCCATGTCAGGTTCAGCTTCGAGGTCTACGGTGTGCATATTTCCGTCGCCATCGGGAAACTCGATGTATCGAGGGTATGTACGCTCCTCAGAGTTGACCAGCTCAGGCAATTCTGGGGCAGGCACCGCCGAAGCGGTGTAAACTAAAAAATAACGATTGGATTGAGAAATGAGAGCGTTATTTTTGGTCTTGATTATCATCATCAGCTGGAACTGGAAAACGTCCTAACTGCTGGCTATGAATTATCAAAATATACAGTATTATAACATCGTATAATCAAATAATGTATTAACATTGTTTTCTTCATCACACACTAAATATTGAAACTTAAAATAAGAAACATAGATGTCACTGTTGTCACTAATAGCTGAAATTTTACTCACCCGCAGCTATGAGCAAGCAAAGAAGAGACTTTCGCATCGTGACTATAGACAGGAGGCAGTGCAGTTTTGGCAATACCAGAGCTATTTATTGCCTAATTTTATCAGCAATCAATAGTGATTTACGAGATTATGTTTGTAATCTTATTCTTATACCTAGCTCTTAATGATTAATTTGTTGGGTCATAACAATATTTAATAACAAGATAAAGTCAGAGTTTTTTATCAGATTTTGTAATAAGACGTAACAAATATATGTTACATTACATTACATATGCTTATTTTTATTTTTTAAGGAGATCTAGTAGTAAACCATTCATCAGCACAGTGTTTTCAGATATTTTGAGTATTATTCTAAGAAAATCACTGAAGGGATAAATTGTTACGAAATTAAAGTTAGAAAGTGAAAATAAGCGGTAGATGAAGATAACCCGAATTCAGGGAGCTGTGACATCGCAACTTCAGTCTGCTTGTGACCACGACCTGTGCAACCAGGTCGAAACGTCAAGCCTACCAAGGTATTTAAATAATTATTTTCCGTGTTAATAACCGCGTAACTACCTATATATTGTAAATATGAAACGCAAACGTTTAAAAGTTAGTAAAGTTTTTATTTGCTATGAACATCAGTACAAATACATAAACATTGACAGATTAATGGTTAGTCATAAAAGTCTGACACTCCCTCTTCTCGCCCCACCCTGGGAGGGAGAAGTGATTTGATGATTTTCTCTTAACATAAAAAATAATAAAAATGTATGGTTTAAGAGTGTGGGTCAAGCGCAGTTATCTACCGCGGTCTCGGACTGGAGCAGAAGAAGGAATGGGATGGATTTTAGTCAGTAAGACTGACACTTCCTCTCGTCTCACCTTTGATGAGAGAAGAAATTTGATGATCATGAAACAATGAATTTATTTTTGCACGTAAATTTTATTTATATGTGAAAAACTAGATGAAGCCAGCATTTCCTATCTGACTACTCTAAGAAGAAATGCCAACACAAACTCAGTCTCGTGTCGTTATCAAGTCAGTATTGGCATTATGTAGAATGATTAAGATTTGATAGTTTATCTAAATTTGATTCGTCGTGTATCATCTGATAATGTGCAGTTGGAGTCACTATGGACACTCGCAATACCAGAATTAGGATTGGACCGCCGGTACCAGATTCGAGCCAGAGCATGGCTCTCATGTTGAAAGTTTTTGTCCATCTTAATATATTAGTTACATCGTTCGTAACTATTACATATTTTTCGCATATATGTAATCTTTATACGTTTTCGCGTCATCATAAAATGTAATACAGGTACAGTATGATTTCTTGATTAAAACAAAGATAGGACCAGTTGCCATACGTAAGTCAAAACATTATTTATATAAATAATCCATTCACACTGATAATTGCAAATACGCATTTAGCGCAGATAAGGTAACGTGAATAAAAAATTATAATTCAATATCAGAATTTTGAATTCTACACAACACAACAACGGTACAATATTAATCTGTCTTTTTACGAATTATGAATTTGTTGTCTGAAGTATTGTTTGAAGTGAAATGAAAAGCTTTCAAACAACACTATTTCAATTTGAAATGACGATGTAACTGTAACAATTATCAAATATCTTTATATAACTCCTTCTAGTTTTAAACTCTATGTATATCTTACCCTAGAAATCAAAGGTCACTGCTCCGCATTCCTTCAGTGTTGGCCCTGCAGCCAAGAGCATCGGAAAATTGTGTATTGCAGTAATTAGCATTAGTTAGTGGACTTTGTCTTTTAAGGTCCGGCCAGGTGGAAGGTGAGGACGCCATGGCGTCTCTCTAGTTACTCCTCAAAGAGGGGTCTTACTGTTGCTATCACGCCGTGCTAAAATATAATTATTAATATTGGCAAGTATAATATAAATGAAAGGATCTTGGTTTACTTTTTTTTTACATTATATAAACTAGTGCTTGACTGCGATCTCACCTGATGGTAAGCAGTGATGCAATCATTGATGGTAAGGCGCACTAGTTTATTAAGAAACAATGAATTTATTAAATTAACTAAAAATCGCGGGTTACTCCCGGACGCGGCGACGTCGCGCAGCCTACTCGACTCGACTCGACTCGAGTAGGCTGCGCGACGTCGCCGCGTCCGCGCACGCTGCTCATGAGGAAGAACCCCTCTGTGGTTCGAAACTAGTAGAGCTTTTCTCAACATTTACACGTGAGTAACCCGCGATTTTTAGTTAATTTAGTATGTCACACGATATTTATTATAAAAACAATGAATTTATTTTTGCAAAGGCCATAAAACGGCACTTTTACACGTCAATTTATATGTAAAAAACTAGATGAAGCGCCTATTCACTCTAGCCTTGAAGACACCTAAATTATATTTGCTAATTATATTTACTTGGTTTTATTTTTATTTTACAACTGCATTGTATCACAGTTACATATCTACTCAATCTACTAAGGATTATAGACCATTACAGATGACAGATAACCACGGAAGTTATAGTGACGTACTAATTAGTGATGTAATAACAGCAAGTAACGTTTGTGCATTTGCAGGTTTGCTTCTGTAATTATAAAGAATCAGACTCATTGATAAATCATGATATCATTCCATTCGCTGGGTTACTTGCAATTACTTAATCAACGAACTACGTAAGTAGAATCCAATGTATTGAATGTTTAAAGGCTTAATCACGTACGGCGACAGAATATGTAGCGAACATAAAATACAATTTTGGTCATAAATTATACTGTCGGTCTAAAAGAAATATCTAATTTTTCTTGTATAGTGTAGGTATTGGTTGTTGGCGGGGTTCTTCTCAATGTTTGCGAGAAGGCATACGTTAGGCTCAGCCTTGTCCATTGGTGTTCCCATTTTTATAACTTGATGACATCCATGCGGTTAATGTCCATTGTTATCGTCAAAAAGATGAAATTTTGGATTATTTACCTTTTCACCGCCAATGCCATGTATAGATGCCATGCGCAAGCGTGCCCTGTGCGCCACCGACATCTATAGATGCCAAGAAACAGATCATAGAAAAATACAAAATAAACATATTAAATCATTACTTTAACGTGTTTTATTGATACACCTTAAGAACTGAATGCCCAGTTATTACATAATCGTACACAGTAAACAAAATAGCTAAATAGTTATGCAAATATTTGATTGATAAAAGCATGCATTAAAAAAGCATGTTCTCTCGCGCCAATGGCATGTATACGTGCCTGCTAGTGATGTAGTGTAATTAAATTTAAATTTTAGCCAAATGAATCAAATTTGCTTAATTTTTGTTATAACTATTAAAATATATATATAAGCTTAGTCACTGAGAAAAATGGTAAATATACTATATTTGAAACTGAAAAATACTTTAGTATAATAGCATATTTTCAATATTGTCGATGTTCCATAATCGCCAATCATGCGCATCTCTAGCACAGTACCGATATGCAATCCCTTCTGCGCCATTGACATGTATAGATGTCGGACTCGTGACGTCGTAAGCGCGTGCCGTGATTTTAAGTGCAGGGAAATAATACATAAATAAATTTATATTATTATAATTGAAAAAATGGCGAGTGAAGAATTATTAAGCACAGAACAATTATTGCGCATTCTAGAAGGCACTGATGGAGATGAGTTTTCGGATTCGGAGTCGGTAAATGAAAATGATTTTGAGGTAAGTTAATTTTAATTTAATGTCATTTCATTATTGTTATACGGTAAAACGGGGTGAATAGAATTCGAGGGGTAAATAGACACGGAAGAGGGGTGAATAGATACTAGGAAAATTCGCCAACATCAATTCACCCCTTTCGTGTATCTATTCACCCCTCAAATTCTATTCACCCCGTTTTACGGTACTTATTTTATAACGTACAAACTTTAAAATGTACCAAAGTATTTACAGTTTTTTTTCTAACGTTCTAAACAGTTAGTAGGTACTTACTTATCGCCTACTAGGTAAATTAACTCAGTTAATACTAACAGATTACCTTTATAGTACCTACTTATTTCAAATAAAATTTTATTTTAATGTTATTCCAAAACAAGGAGTTTGTTTTGGAATTCGGTTCGTGTAAAAGCAGAGCGACCACGGATCGGTTCGTCGCCAGCAGAGAGAATTTATTAATTATTTTTAATACGAGGAGTTTAAATAATTATACTGTAGGTATTAGCTCTTGCCCACAACTTTGGTATATAGATGTATAGTGTTATGCTGTTAATTAAGCTATATTACTGCTTAATTATTATTTAAGTTTTAATTTAATATAAAAATAAACGCGAAAACTACAGAACGGTCTTTAAAATCCGTTCGGTAGTTTTCGCGTGGAAGAGTAACAAACTTTCGTGTTTTTATATAATATTACTTCAAATGATTTAGTTGTTAACAGCAAAAGCCCTGTGAATCTATCCAAGATTATCAGTTACAGACTGAAAAAAAAATTATGTCTTTTTACCTTGTGTTGATACTTTCTTTGTTTTTTTTGTAAATAATTATTATTTTGATATTAGAAATAAACACTCCACAATGATACCTAGTTAATATAAACTCGATAACGCTACATCCCTAATCAGAAGCGAGAAATTATAAAAAAAGAAGGTTGCCCGCGCCATTGGCATGTATACATGCCAACTGATAGAGAATAGTGCTGTAAGTGGCTGCAATTTTGTATGTATTTTTTTATCTCAAAGGGTTGATTTTTTTACTGGTAGCTACCATAAATTTGGTCTTAAGTTTATTAAAGTAGGAGATGAGGTTAAATAAATATTCTTTTTGTGTTATAAGCTATCTTTATTCAAAAATTTCAGACGAAAATTATTACTTACTTATGTTTATCGATAAAGTTTTGGAATCCCTACTATTTTCAAGGTTATTTCATTGAATTTGTGGCTTGGCGTGGAGGGCACGGCGAAGCGTTATTACTCTGGCGGCCAAAAGGTTAATATTTATCGCATGTGTGATTTGATATAATCAATTATAATTTTTTGGTGATTTGTATAGATTTTTTTTATAAATATGAGAAAGTAGCCAATACAGTAAAAGTATTCAATCTGTGTTTTTATAAGTTTATTAAATAGATTTTATTATTAAAATTGTTTTGTCGAATGTACTCCATATTTCATTACGAAACCATAAAGTAACGAATCGTTATTTTTGGTGTATTCCAAACAAATGCCTAGACAAGATCGTGATCGTCAATAAAGATAACATCTACAACTTTAGCATATACATTACATATAATCGGGTAGTTTCCTAGGTCAAAAATAAATTAATTAGACGTTAAATATTGAAAAATAACTATACTTTTATTCATCGATCTATCGATTCACTAAATGTTCGACATTTTTTAGCTAAGCTAGTACGCAACAATACTATGACGTCATAATTTGGAGTTTCATGCAAGTTTCAAAGAAAAATATCGTTTTTGATATTTGGATAAAAGTATTGGATTTTGGAAACTACCGTATTATGTGTAATCGTGTGATTGATTGGCCGAGTGTATGATCAGCACTATAACTTATGGCTCATACGAAGAAGGTCAACTCACTATTCGTTGTGCAGAAGACCGTCACGAAACCATGCTTTTTGGCACAGTTTGTATAGGCATAAATACAATTTGATATTTTTTTTCAAAACAATTACTTGTACTATATTAAATTATGGCTTCTATAACCAAGTCATCTCCCGTGCATTTGTTAAAGTTTTGATCTTTGATTGCATTCCAGTTAAATAATATTATTAATGCTTTTCACATGGCAATGGAGAGTTACTTTCATTTTACATAGAAATACTGAAATAGATGAAAAGAAAAGCTAGCTTAACCTTTTTTCTTCCAACCTTCATTCTATTCACCTTCGTTTATTCAGATTCATATAATCAGAGATTCACATTTTGATATCAGAGGTGTTATTTTATGTTTTGTCACGTTTTGTTCAATGAAACAACTATCTGGCCTAATAAATAATTTATTTATCAGCTGTTTAAGATTTTGACTAGTAAGGATAACGCCTTGAGGTGTTCACTCGGTACATTCCAGATCTGAAAAATAAAATAAAAATTTTAGTGTGGAACAGTTTTTTCAGGTTGAAAGAAAAATGAATGAAAACGGCGCTAAGCAATCCCAGCGTTGTGTTTCACCGAGCAAGTGAGGTTAACCAAGGCCCAATCCTTCACCTACCCCATCCCTGCCGAATTGCTTACCATCAGGTAATCCATTGACCCGTTTGCTATCACATAAAATATAATTTCTAAGAACATTTTCTTGTTTGTGATGGACGGGAGAAAACAATGGTGTTTTTAACTATAAAAATATTTGCTCGTCAAATTTAATATAACTGTTTTAGTGACAAATTGGAAATCGTGAAGATTTCTCCTCAAAGACCCCAATGGTTTAAAGACCGATATCAAACGAAAAAAAATCTTTATCTTTAACAATATTTTGAGGTGATAAGAGGTATTGAAAACGAAATATTAATAACACAGCGTTTACTTACCCAGATTTCGTTAAGATGTCATTGCCCATGTGGAGTTCTGCACCACGACACGTGTTCAATGACAACTGAATTTGATTGCTGCACAATTTACCAACTAAATGGTTGTAGGTAACGGTAGCAGCAAAGAATTGCCAGGCACGGTTGTGGTTGCAGAAGTTGGTGAGGCAGCCAGGCTGGGAGATACCACCGTTGGGGTAGAAGTCAGCATCAGCGACGTTGGTGCCGATACCAAGACCTCCAATGGTGTAACCACCATCAGTGTGGATAGCCTCGACGTAGATACCATCGTTGGTGGGGAACGGCAAATCGATCGTAGCTCACGACGTGGCAGAAATGTGAATTAATTCTGGACTGTCAAGTCTCAAATTGCTTTATTTTCATAACTTCCTTTATAATTTTTAGTAAGAACGTAAAAATTTGCGATATGGATCATAGTACATGCTGTGTCGTAAATTGTAGAAACAAATGGGAAAAACAGTTCGTGCAAGTTTTATTCGTTTCCAACATCAAAGTGGACATTACAGCAAAAATAAAAATGGAAAGCTGCTGTAAAGAGAACTAAAATTCATATCCCGTACGTATTATAATATCCATATATTTTACTACGTGTAATATACACACTCACTTTTTACACTATTTTTTCAATTTCGTTGAAAAACTAGTCGAAAATTAATATCTTATCATCTAGTTGACATGATTTGACAGATGACAAGTCCTGAATAGTTGCGGCCACTAGGGGCGCTGCCATCGCGCACACACCGAATAGTTGTTTGAAAAGTCTATGCCATGAACCTCCTACCAGAAAACCTTACTGGTGACGGCTGTGCCGCTAAGATATCGCATTCTCCATCATAATATATATAAAGATTATAAAATTTGTAATTTGTAAGTTTATTTGCAGGGGGTAATCTTTGAAATAGCTGGATGTATTTACAAGATTCTTGCACTAATAGATAGTCTCAATGTTCCTGAAGGCTATAGGCTATGAAACATCCGCGTACAACTAATAGGAGCCGTGGAGCAGCGATTGCAATCGCGCGGCAGTAACTAGTCTAAAATAAAGAAGATTTACAAACTAATTGTCTATACCAAAGGACACCTTGCTTCTCCATTCTCAGTAAAAAAAAGACAACTTGAAATCAATCAAAAATCCCTGATTCGATTTCCGTACTAAGCAACTATTTGTGTGAACCCCGGAATAGAAAATTTTCTGTGTATTTGAAAATATATGTTTTTAAACGCACCGCATTTGTCATACAGGAGGTAATATCATTGTGGCGCAAATTAAAAAAAAAACCTCTATAATTGAAAAAGATGTATGCAAAAGCATAAGCATAAGTCGTGGTGGCCCGGAGGTTAAGGCGCCCGCTTCTCATGCATGAGGGTGCGGGTTCGAAACCTGGCAAATACCAATGTGACTTTTTCCGAGTTATATGTACTTTCTATGATTATTTAGACACCACTGACATACGGTGAAGGTAAACATCGTGAGGAAACCTGAACTTATAATTTCTAATTATAAGTTTGAAATCGCCAACCCGCATTGAGCAAGCGTGGTGATTAATGCTCAAACCTTCTCCGTGTGAGAAGAGGCCTTTGCTCAGCAGTGGGCACTTATAGGCTGATGATGATGATGATGATGCAAAAGCATGTAAGTATAAGTATACGTATAAGCCTAAGTCTTTATAGCCATTAATTGTGCCGACAGTCTCAATAAATGGCTATAAAGACTGAACACTAACACATCTATCATTAGTCATTCTAATAAAAATATGAGCTAGGTAGATTCAAGAGAAAGTAAACAATAAGTAAATAGTTTTTGAAAATGTTATAATTTATTAGTCAAAAAATCAATGGATTGAAGAACGATTACATGTCATGGTGCTTCAGATGACAGAGGAACAGATATTAGGCTTTAACACAACTAAACAAACATTACCATTCAATGTTGCTGTTGTTTTCTAGCTTTTTACCCATACATTTCTAGTATAGCCGTGTGTGATAAATATGGTAGCGAAATTAGTTACTAATAGTGCAACCACAAATTGTAGAAAAACACTGGCCATTTGAAAGCATCGCGACATTGATTTTAATGAACATAATTTTGATTAAATAACATACATTAGGTAAGTATTATTTTTACGTCAGCATAGTATTAAACACGGTTACCGCAGTTTACGTTGCTTGGCCAGTCACAGTATTCTTTTTCAGGGTTGTACATAAGGCTTGAAGGGCATTCCATAGGAATAGGCTGTCCACCGAAACATTTGTAGAAGAGATTGCATTGTTCATGGGCTACCAAAACTCCATCAGAATCTTCAGCCGCGCAAATAGCAGGAGCCTGGCTGGGGTCATCGTAGTTGTTTCCACCAACTGGCAGTTCTGGTTCATTATCCTCATTCTGATTTCCACCATCAACTTCTTCAGGAATAATTCTGTCACTGCAGTCTACGTTTTTAAGCCAGTCACATAGCTGAAGCTCAGCATTAAACATAAGACCGTGCCCGCAGGAAAGTTCAATTTTCATACCACCAACACACATGTAGAATTGGTTGCAGTTTTCATGGGGCAACAACATTTCTTCATCGGGTGAGCAAGAGGAATTTGCGTGAGCAAAAGCTACGCAGAGAAGAAGAAGCACAATACCTGAAAAAATATATTAGATTTGTTACATTTTGGGAAACTCCTACGAAATATAAACAGTCTTAAATTTTATTTTTATTTCAACGCAGTTTAGTTTTTCTTCATTAATTAGTTATCTGAAGTAAGAGTTCTATTTTATGTCTTAATTTTTTTATAAACTCCAATCCCACAATTCATTATGATGGGAAGCACTGTAAATTTTGAGCTAATGGACTACTTTTGTCGAAATTGACTTACCTTTCATGATGTATTTATAATTTTTACAACTCTTCACTAAATGTGTATGTGGTACAACTGAGTATAAGTTATGGCTCCCTCGCTTAATATTTATACTAAAGCATCCATGATAATATCAATGAGATTATCTATTAAGATAATTTTATTGAATTTGGAAAACCAGCCGATAAATTATAATTATGAAAACAAACAGTCAATAATTTTGGAATTCCTTATTTAAAATTGTATTACTTTTGTGGAAGTAACACGTTTCTGATTGAAATTTGAGACAACCCTGAGATACAGCGAAGAAAAACATTGTGAGAAAATCTGATTAAAAAAACAATTAACCAAAGTGTGGGACAGCCAAGCTTCGGCACGAATGGGTCGGCACAAGCAATCGGAGTGATACCGCGGCCTTACAGAAAACCGGCGTGAAACAACCACAGCGTTGTGTTTCTCTGTGAGGTTACCTGAGGCCCAACCTCTCACCCTCTTCCCATCCTTTCCCAATCCTTAAATATCCGACACCCCTATACCTAAAATGCCGACAACGCAACATGCAACTCGGAACTCCTTTGCTGTTGTGGTCAGGTACTCCGTGACTGCACGGTTGGGCGCGGTGGTTGGGGAACTGACTGCCGCGCAAAGTGGGTTTAATTACCGCACGAAAAAACTCTTTGTGTGATCCATTAATTTTTGTTCCGGGACTGGGTATGGTGTGTATGTGAAATTGTATGTTTGTCAATGTACCCACGACACAGGCGAAAATCCTAGTCTGGGACAAACTTTTTGATTTAATTAAAAAAAACTTCTGCACGTTGCTCGTTTGCCGACCTATCTTAAAAAGAGTTACTAGTACTAGGCACTTATAAGACATGCCCACCATTCATCGTTTACCATCAGGTTGCTCATTTGTTCGTCGTGGTGGTCCGGAGGTTAAGGCGCCCGCTTCTCATGCATGAGGGTGCGGATTCGAAACCTGGCAAGTACCAATATAACTTTTTCTATCTATCTAGATGTACTTTCTATGATTATATTATTATTATGATATATTATATTACTTCACTGACATACGGTAATTGAAAACATGGTAAGGAAACCTAGAATAAATTAAATTTTGTTATTTGTAAGTTTAAAATCGCCAATCTTCCTTGAGCAAGCGTGGTGGTTAATGCTGCAGCAGTAGGTACTTATTGGCTGATGATGTGATTCAAGTCCGTAAAACAGTGGGTTACTAGTAGATGGAACACCTTACAGTAATCACTATCAGTGCCCCCTCCAAAACTAGCAGCACCGGAGGGGTTTCTTACGCCTTCAAATTACGAATTCACCATTCCCGGAATCAGAAAATAGAAACGGACTTCTAGTTTAACATAAATGTGACTGCAAGGTTCTCTGGAGGATATGTTTGCTTCGCCCTCTTTTAATGGATGTGTCAACTGTGTAAAACACTAAATGAGTGCAGTACGACTGTTTGTGCTTATCCAGTTATGTTCGCATAACTGGTTGATGTTCATGTACAACAAATGTTTATTTTTACAATTTATGGAATGTGTATGATTGTAAAGACTAAAAGACACTATTTCACAATATCAGCTACTTATGAACTATATTATAAATAATCCAAACTAATATTATAAATTCAAAAGTAATTCTGTTTCTCTGTCTTTTCTTCACGCCTAAACTTCTGACCCGATTTCTGTAAAATTTGGTACAGATATAGTTTAGAATTCGAGAAAGAACATAGGATAGTTTTTATACCAAAAATCTGCACGAAGTCACTATACCATGCGAACAAAAGAGCAACTAGACAAAAGCTAGTAAAAAGTTTATGATGACTTTTAAAATTTAAAAAAAGAGACAAAAATAACTGACTGTATAGAATAGCTGACTGCACCTCGTTTCCGACCGTTGAAAGCTTAGAAATCCTTCTTGGGGTTATGTGTTATAATATGTTACAATAAAATACCAATTAGTATATTAAATCTAATGCAAGAAAATGTTAAGCCTGATTAAAAGTAAGCCCTTTTAATGTGTAAACAAGTTTACTCCAATCTGTCAGATTACCTGTATATTAAAGTAATAAAGAATGCATGCTTATTCGAACAAAAAAAAAAGTGTTTCAATTAAAAGTTTATATAAAAGCAATCTTTTTGATTGTCAGTGAGCGCCAACATGACGATATAGAGAGAAAGTAAAGGATTTAAAATGTAATGACGACGAAATGATCCCATCGTTTGTTCCTTATTTTTTTTTACAAACTGCTCTCAGCGTTTTTCTCTCATATGGGTGCAATAATGTATTGGTGAGCATGTAAAACATATACATGTATTTGTTAAAAGAGTAACAATAGAGTTTCTTGCTTATTCTTCTCCATTCGAATCTACACTTCATTCGTCAGTGACTGATGGACTAGTATTCTATTTTAATGTTTTAAAAGTACTTGTATACTCGTAAAGTACATTGAGATTAATATTGTAATTTCTTTTTCTTCAACCTCATAACAAGACACAAATAGTCACGCTTAACACAATAAATGTTTAAGACAAATCTAATAGTAATCATTTCGTGCTAATCTTACTTCTATACAATCTAAGTATGTATATAGGTATAATGACACCTGTCCATGTAGGAGGGATTAGTTTATTTTTAACCCCTGACGGGAAAAGAGGGGTGTTATAACTTTGACGTGTCTGTCTGTCTGTGGATTCCTGGAGCCTGAACGGATAAAGCGATTTCAATTTAGTTTTTTTTTTTGTATTAAAGGTGACTAGTGTTCTTAGACATGTTTGACGAAAATCGGTTGAGCCGTTTAGAAGTAATGGGGGTAAGTGGGCAAGGGTAACCGAAGGTCTGCAAATATACTCGAGTGGGGTGTCAAATGAAAGCGCACTGAAAGGGAATGTTGATGGCTTAATCGAGAGAAAATGATATAAAATACCTATAAAAAAATAAATTAGACCCCCGACAAAATAGAAATAGGTATGTAGTAAATAATAAAATATTTGGATCGGTCCCCCAACGCTACGTTTTTTTTTAAATTACTTTTTAAAAGAATATTAGATTTTTATCGGGGGTTTTTTAAATTTTAAATTTATTATTAAAGGCAAAATCTACCTTCTAAACATATATACAGACCCCAATAATTATGAAAAAAAGTATGAGGAGCTATGTATACTAACTTTGACGTAAAGATATTATATAATTTCCGCTGTTTTTGATAAAAGAATAACTACTTAGCTGTATATAGAACATTATCAAAGTAATTAATTGATTTAATCACTTCCTATAATAGCAAATCAAAAAAATTGTGCGATAATGTTAATATGTATCTAGCATAGCATTCTTGTAGACCACACGTAAGTGGCTGCACGGTAAGATTAAAAATAAATAAATAAATATAAAGAAATAAAATACAATTTTTAGGCAACCGTGTTAAGCTATTTATTATTCAAGATCACAACATTTTTTTAAAATTTAATCAAGATTTGCGATGCCATCGTGGTTACTATAAAAAGTGATATTATATAATTTTTAAAATTAATAACCTGTTAAAATTTGTAAAAATATCACCACCACCACGAATAGTGATTTCGTTGACAAACATACAATTTCAAATATTCAATCTTAGAATCTACCCGCTCCTTTTTTAAGTCATAGGTCGGCAAACGCCAGAGCTGAGAGCCGAGCTGATGGTAAGCATTCGGCGCCGCCCATGGACAATCGTAATACCATAGAATTTAGAACTAGTACTTTGCAGGCCGCTTGTGGGTTATAAGGGATTTGAGGATTGAGAATGGGGTGGAAGGATTGGACCTCTGTTAACTCACTCATACGGCGAAACAACACGGAAATGTTCGTGCTAGTTTTCTGTGAGGTCGTCGTGTCACTCTGGTCGAGCCAGCCCATTCGTGTCGAAACATGGCTCTCCCAGACTTGAGACGTACCTGAATGCGCTTCCTTATCGATATCTCGAACGCTATCGATATCTCCTGTGATGATCTAGTATTAGTAGATCTGTTTGAAGTCGCGTTTTGTTTAAATTCTCGTATTCTCGTATTATTAATGCGTATCTGTGTAATTGAAAAACTGTCATTGAATTCTGATGTAATTTTTCGGATACGCCTGAATAATATGGTGCTTAACCAGTTTCTTTCTTTCTTTCTAACCCTTCTTTCTTTAAATATTTCCTTTCTAATGTTTACTAAGTACATTTTATTTGTCACTTTTAGTTTGCATGTTTTTATAATTATGGAGCATGCGGTGCCAGCCTGTAAGTGACTGTTACACTGCCCTAGATGAAAAAATGTAATTGTATCATTTATAAGTTTATACAATTTAATTGTTAATTAGCCAATAAAATAAAATAAAAAAAACTTTACACAGAAGCTTGCATTACTATTTTAACAGTTTGTGTAATATGTAGATAGTTTTATTTTATTTGTGAATAACATACACATAAGATTTGATGATACACATCACTTAAATTTTGTGCCTAATTTTAGCATATAACTTAATAAATCACATCATCAGCCTGTAAGTCCCCACTGCTTAGCAAACACCTTCTCACACACGACGACGGTTTATGCATTAATCACTATGCTTGCTTAAGGCGAATTGGCAATTCCAAGATTCGTCACGGTGTTTCTCTTCACTGTAAGTCCAAAGTTGATAAGCGATCGGGAGAAGGGTGGCAGTTGCCAGTTCTTGCATGAGAAGTGCGCACTGTAACATCCGAGCGACCATGACATAACATTATTATTATGCCAACCCTTTATTGTTGTTTATAAATCGTTTATATTCGTCATAGTAATGTGCAAATAGTATACGTATGATAACGGCCTATTCGATAATTTTAAGCAAAAAAAATATGGTTACATAACACTACCTAGAGGTACACTGTCCTTATTTTCTCCACAATTTGATAATACATTTAAATGTGGGTTACTTTTGATATTATGCTCTAGAAATTTGTCAATGACAGCACCCTCAGTTGGCGTACGCAGGTTACTAATGTATGCAAAA